GTTAGTGCAAGGATAGATTTGAGAAAAAGAAAGGTAATGAAAACAATTATTATAAATGATGAGATCAAAATGACAGAAATGGTTATAATAACATTGATGATAATATCAGTGATAACAGTAATGATAAATAGCTTAATGATACTACTGCTACTATTTTTAATAACCATAATAATGGAATTAGAATGATAAAAGTAACAATGGTGATAAAAACAAGAATGATAATCATACGCTGTTTGTAATGATAAAACTAACGATGATGAGAATGAAAAAATATTATTAGTAGTAGCATTAGTGTTTAAAGGCGACAATAATGATGATAATAGTAATAATAATGATGGTAATAATAGAAATAATAATGATGATGATAATAATAATAATAACAAGAATAATGATAATAAGAAGGACTACAACAATAATGATAATGACAATGACAAAGATAATAATGATTAAAAATCGTTTCATTATGATTGAAAATTATGATTTTAGTAATCATAATATTGACAATTATGATAATCGCAATAATGATAGTGATAATAATGATAATGATAATGTTAATATTAAAGATGACGAAAACTAATAAAGATAATGATAGTAATGATAGTAATGAATATTATGATAAAAGTAGTGAAACTGATGGTAAAAGATGACAGTAATAGTTATAATGATAATGGTAATAACGATAATGATTTTGATGATAAAATTGCAATGATAATGGGCAATAACGATAGTAATAGAAACGTAATAATGATTTTAATGATGATAGTATTAATGGTGATTATGATAACGATAACAACAGCAGCAACAACAACAAACAATAATAATAATGATAATAATAATAATAATAATAATAATAATAATAATAATAATAATAATAATAATAATAATAATAATAATAATAATAATAATAATAATAATAATAATATAATAATAAATGATAATAATAATATAATAATAGTAATGATAATAATAATTATTATTATTATCATTATTATTATTATGATAATGATAAGAAGAAGAAAGGGAATAATTATAGTAATAATGATAATAATAATAATAATAATAATAATAATAATAATAATAATAATAATAATAATAATAATAATAATAATAATAATAATAATAATAAATAATAAATAAATAATAATAATAATAATAATAATAATAATAATAATAATAATAATAATAATAATAATAATAATAATAATAATAATAATTATGATAATGATAATAATTATGCTGATAATAAAAATGATAATAATGGTAAGCAAAAGAAGAAGAAGGAGAAGAAGAAGAAATGTGGAAAGAAAGAGTAAAGTTAGAAAGAGAGAAAACTAGAGAGAAGGAAAGAAGAAAGAAATGAAAAAAAGAAAGAAGGAAAGAAGAAAGGAGGAAAAACGAAGTAAAAAAAAAAGAAAAGAATGGGAAATAAAGAAAGATAGATAGGCAGAAAGTGAAAGAATGAAAGGCAATCAAAAAAAATCCTCCAAAGAACACCATACGTCCATAAGCCAGCATTCGCAACCCCGAAATCACTCGCAGCGCCTTTGTGGAGCAGAGAGCGAGGCGAGCGAGGCGAGCGAGGGGAGCGGGGCGAACGAGGGGAGCGAGGGGAGCGAGGCGAGCGAGGGGAGCGAGGCGAGCGAGGGGAGCGAGGCGAGCGAGGCGAGCGAGGGAGCGAGGGGAGCGAGCGCGAGGGGAGCGAGGCGAGCGAGGGGAGCGAGGCGAGCGAGGCGAGCGAGGGGAGGCGAGGCGAGCGAGGGGAGCGAGGCGAGCGAGGCGAGCGAGGGAGCGAGGCGAGCGAGGCGAGCGAGGCGAGCGAGGCGAGCGAGGCGAGCGAGCGAGGCGAGCGAGGCGAGCGAGGCGAGGCGAGCGAGGCGAGCGAGGCGAGGCGAGCGAGCGAGGCGAGCGAGGCGCGAGGCCAGCGAGCGAGGGAGCGAGGAGCGAGCGAGGGGAGCGAGGCGAGCGAGGCGAGCGAGGCGAGCGAGGCGAGCGAGGCGAGCGAGGCGAGCGAGGCGAGCGAGGCGAGCGAGGGAGCGAGGCGAGCGAGGCGAGCGAGGCGAGCGAGGCGAGCGAGCGAGCGAGCGAGGCGAGCGAGGCGAGCGAGGCGAGCGAGGCGAGCGAGGCGAGTGAGGCGAGCGAGGGGCGCCGAGGGGAAGAAAGTCCCGAAAGAAGGGCGTGTAAATCTCGGCTCCTCATCCATCCTCCACATCACGTTCTTCTCCCGCTGCGACACCGACAAAGAAAACAAAGACATTAGCCTCCCCCTTCTCCACCACCCTTCTCCTACCCCCCCCCACCCCTCACTTCCTTATGCTCCTCCCTCGCCGTTCTCTTATTTTTTATTATTTTTTCCCCCTCTCCCTCTCCAGCGCCTCTCTTCCTTATCCTCTTCCCTGTTCTATTCTCACCTTTTTTCCCCTCTCCAACCCCCATCCTTTTATTTCCTTACCTTTCCTTTCCTACCTCCTTCTCCCCGTTCTGTTTCTTCTTCCCTCTTCTA